AAAAATCAATATAGCGAATTTAAACTTTATGAGGATGTTTTAGACTTATTTTGCTATAGCAATATAGTATATCGTTAGATAATTTATTAGCTAGCTTCCTTTTATCGACATATCGCTGAGTGTAATATTGTTGCCGTCATCATCGTCGTCGTTAATTTTATTCATTTGACCCAAAAGTTTTAACACCACGCAGTATTATGGACCATAACCTCAAAAATATTATTTATTATTTATTTATATTTTTCAAATCATAAATTAAGATATGAATTATTTAAGTTCTTAAGTGTACCTAAATGTCCTAAATATTATATTAATCCATGTTTCATATATAATTTTGTTTAACAGTATACATTGTAAAGCTATACAGGTAGACAATATAAATAGTTTATTTTATAAATTACTTAAAAGTTATTACTTATTACTTATCAAAAAGTACATTATATATATATACTGAAAACTAAATCGTAATATCATTAAACATTATACATCATCATACTGGCAAGATTTTCCTACCTTTAATTTATTAATGTAATTATTTCAATACACTAAGTATTTTTACAATGCTTTTACAAAATTCAAAAAATATTTTGACGGATTGAAAGCATTTTCTTATGTGTTGAAGTCGCAAAATTGCTATAGGTGCCTACAGCGTTGAATATATCATTATAAACTTTGAAGTTATATAAATAGTCAAATTAGTACTTTAAGTTAGTAATATATATATCGTAATTCGTAGGTACTTATAGACTTTTGACTATTAAGTGTCTAACAATACGAAATTAAATAATATGCCACGTGTACTTTGTTAAGTACCTACTTAAACTATATAATACGCTTTTTATTCATTACTTTAAACTCGAATTGTAATGATTCCGCCATTAGGCACCATAATTTCACCATATATATTTTGTAGGAAAATCGCTGCAGTTTACAGTGATTTTTAAAACGGTTAACGGACAACCAAAAAAATTATATTTATTTGTTTATTTTTGTATGGTCAAACAGTGATGTATTTTTGGGAAAACCCTGGCTGAAATAAAAATTTTTGAAAATCCATTTAAAATAATTTTACTATTGATAAATTATGGTCGTTGTCTTAAAAACATATTACATAATATAATATAATTTATAGTCATTTTTTTTTTTTTCATAGTCATATCATATCGATAATGTCATTACATTTGTTACTAATGTATCTTAGATTTTAGAATATGGTATAACTGGTAAAATGCTAAATAATTATTGCATATGATTTTAATTAGGTATAGTATTTTGTGTTCTATTATATAGTTTTTATATTACCTATAGGTATACATATTTTCAAAAAATTCAATGCAATATAGGTATTCAATTATTATAAAATATACCTACACGAATTGTTAACCTAAAACATAAGTGAGTAGTAACTAATACAAGTGATACAACTATGGAAAATAAAATWAATAAATAATTTATAAACTTGAGGGGATCAATTCCGACTGTTAGGCGTTAAGGAGTTCGATATAGGCAATCCTTCAATTGTTGGCGCGAGTGCCTTGTAAAAATATTGTATACGTAGTAACACTATAGTAAGTGATCATTATTGATGATTTATTAGTGTTTGCGTGTGACTGTAGTAGGCAGATGTGTATTGTGTCAGATAAATAGCGTGTAGAGCTCCCGCACTTGCACACACGTCTTGCCAATAACGTGCTACAGGAACATTAGTTATTTTGTTTAAAAGTACCAGTAATCGTTTGAAAAACTGTTCACCCATATTCATCAATATCAATATTTTTGAAAGTATATTTGAACTCGTCGTGGAATTTTCTTGAATACGATTATCTTAACCATAATCAATATTTCAGACTAATGTTATAATGAACATTTTAAAATGTAAGACCGTTAATATTTAAATTTTAAATTTAAAAATCTTATTTGAAGAGTTCAATTTCGAAAATCGGRAAAGTSGTTCTCAGG